TCTGTGAAGAGCACAGGGCGCCAGTGGCGAATTTGCCAATCTTGGTGTTCTCTGGCAAATGCCAAATGTCCTGCATGGTGTTGGGCTGTAAACACACCCCCACCTGTGGATGTCAGGCCCTCATACCACCCTCATGGAGTCTTTTTCTGACTGTTTGAGCAGCCACATGCACATTTGTGGCGTGCTGCAGATCATTTTGCAGGGCTCTGGCAGTGCTCCTCCTGTCCCTCCTTGCACAAAGGCGGAGGTAGCAGTCCTGATGCTGGGTTGTTGCCCTCCTATGCCCTCTTCCACATCTCCTGATGTACTGGCCTGTCTCCTGCTAGCGCCTCCATGCTCTGGACTTGTGTGGGTTGTAGACTCCATCTCACGCTACCACTAGAGTGACAGCACCGCCAGCATTCAAAAGTGACCAAATCATAGCATAGGAACTGAGAAGTGGTCTGTGGTCACCACCTGCAGAACCACACCTTTATTGGGGATGTCTTGCTAACTGCCTATGCTTTCCACCTGTTGTCTATAACATTTGCACAACAGCATGTGAAATTGATTGTCAATCAGTCTTGCTACCTAAAGTGGACAGTTTGATTTCACAGAATTGTGATTGACTTGGAGTTACATTGTGTTGTTTAAGTGTTCCCTTTATTTTTTTGAGCAGTGTATATAAAGATCTTGACATACTTGAACATTGGGCGTTATCTAACAAAATGAAATTCAGTGGTGAAAAAAGGAAGGTTCTACATTTAGGCAAGAAAAATCAAATGCACAGATACAGTACTTTGCTCAATAGTAGTAATTGTGCGAAGGATCTCAGAGTCCTAGTGGACAACCGTTTAAACTTGAGCCAGCAACTGCCAAAAAAGCCAACACAGTTCTAGGCTGCATAAACAGAGGGATAGAATCATGTGAAGTGTTAATAAGACTTGATAAGGCACTTGGAATAACGCATCCAGTTTTTTTGCCACGATGTAAAAAAAGTTGTTGAGACTCTAGAAAGAGTGCAGAGAAGAGCAACAAAGAAGATTAGGGGACTGAAGGCTAAAACATATATAAAGAATAGTTGCAGGAACTGGGTGTGTCTAGTTTAATGAAAAGAAGGACTAGGGGAGACATGATAGCAGTGTTCCAATATCTCAGGGGCTGCCCCAAAGAAGAGGGAGTCAAGCTATACTCCAAAGCTCCTGAGGGCAGACAAGAAGTAATGGGTGGAAACTAATCAGGGAGAGAAGCAACTTAGAACTAAGGAGAAATTTCTTGACAATTAGAATAATTAATCAGTAGAACAACTTGTCTCCAGAAGTTGTGAATCTCCAAGTTTTTAAAAAGATGTTGGATAACCATTTGTCTGAAGTGGTGTAGGGCTTCTTGCCTAAGCAAGGGGTTGGACTAGAAGACTCCAAGGACCCTTCCAACTCTGTTATTCTATTCTAAGTGAGATGGGCAATGTAGAAATTTGGTAAATGAATACATAAAATCAAGGTTATTCTTGTCTAGGTCCTGAGTCTGGGATGATTCATCCCTCTGAGTCCTTGCTAATGTCCTCTTGAGCCTGGAACTATTTGACTAATGATGGTGCCTCTCTGGTTATTGACCTCAGCCTGGTTTATCTGTAGTTGGTTCCAGGAGTGAGCAGCTACTTGATAGTTTGACTTGATGACCCTGCTTAGAGTGGAGATAAAAAGATAAAATCCAATGGCTTGAGCCAATGACAATAAAGAATAAAAGTGCTTACAAGGCTATATCCCCAGCATTGCAAATTTTCTAGATGGTCACCTAAGTTGAAATGGCTTTTGGTCAAGCCAACTTTGTGTTTGCTTTTGGATTAGTGGGCTGGCCCTAAATTATGGGGAGGGGTTTCCCATTTTTAAACTTGTGTTTGTTTCACGTTGCGAAGAGTCTCTGGTTTCAGCAGAGTCCAGAACTTCACTGAGGTCGACATATCCTATTCAGCTCTGATCTTCATCTTGAACCATGAAATCTCTACAGATCATCTGTCTTCTTTTCGTTTTGGTAGCCAGAGGTAAGGAGATGATGTTGCAGAATGTCTGAGTCTTCTATTGTCTTGTTTTCAATGTTCTCAATTTCTCCATCTTCAACATCATGCTATCTGCTTGCAGGCAAGCGGGAATTTATGTAATTATCTGGAAGTAGGCATGCAAAAGTTGTGTAGGCTTCTATCTACACTAAAACAGACCTCAGCCCCCATAATTCTTCCACTCAGTCTTGAAATGTTGGAAACCTTGAGAAGCTGAGTTTTATGTAGACATCCTTATGAGTAATATGTACTTTCCTACACCTGCTATCACAGCAAATTCAGGCATAATACCTAAGTAGGTTTTACCTTTCAAAACTTGATTGCAGCTTAATGACCGATAACTACCCACTAATATTTTCCACTTACTTGAATTGTATTGGACATAAATTAACTTGGAGATTCCGTGTCTAAGCTAAACTAATCAAGGAGAGAACCAAGCTAGAACTAAGGAGGAAATTCCTGACAGTGAGAACAATGAATCAGTGGGACAGCTTGCTTCTAGAGGTTGTAAATGCTCCAACACTGGAAGCTTTTAACAAGATGTTGGATAACCATTTGTCTGTAGTGTAGGGTTTCCTGCCTAGGCAGGGGGTTGGACTAGAAGATCCCCAAGATCCCTTCCAACTCTTCTCTTCTCCTCTGTTCTGTTCTGTTCTATTTATTCCATTCCATCCCATTCTTTTGTCCTCTCTGGGTGACCCCCATTCTATAAGGGTCTTTCCTACCACCACCATCTGCAAAGAGAACCTGCGATCTTCTGAATGGAAAGCAAACACTGTACTGTCCCTGTACAACACAGCACCTGCCCCCAAATCAGCTCTCCTGAAATGAGCAGCCCTTCTCCTTGGTCTTTGGAGCATTTCTTGGTTTGCTGATTGACTATCCTTTCCCTCCACCAATCACGGCTCTTTGGGACTTGGATTCCTCACAAGTAATTGATCAACCCTGACATTTCAAAATAATGAAGCACCCTAGGGAAGGCATAAGAGAATAGAGTTAATCAGGCACCCTCTTTTCTTTCTTTTCTCCTTTTCAGGAAGCTGTCGCTCATGTGAAATTTGTCACAATTTTGGAAAAGATTGCGAGAGTGAGGGGGCAGAGGAATGTGCCTCTCCAGAAGATCAATGTGGCACAGTGTTGCTGGAGATTTCATCAGGTAAAACCAGAGTGACCATTCCTCTCATTTCCTTCCAATAAAAGGAGAATCTTTTCTAAGGTTTCCTTTCCTGGCTGAGTAACTTTCTCAACAGGGAGTCTGAGCTGGTGACCACATGCACACTCCTTGTCCAGACATATAAAGAATAGCAATAGCAATAGACTGATATACCGCTTTACAGTGCTTTGCAGCCCTCTCTAAGTAGTTTACAGCAGTTTGCATGGAAGGCTGAGTCGACCTTGAGCCTGGTGAGATTCGAACTGCCAAATTGCAGTCAATCCCTAGCACCACGTAACCGAGTGAGCTCCCATTACTTGTCCCAGTGTCAACTATAAAACGTGTATACAAAATGTTTTGAGTTGGCTATAGACGTTTTTTCATTGGACGATACACCCAGAGGGGTGAGGGGGAAAGCAGGATAAAAGGTGACAGTGAATTATGTATCTCAGAGTTGGCTATGCCCAGATTAGTTCTGGACATAGAATGTTAGCTTCAAATAAATCCTCTTTAGTTTTGGGAGTGTGGCTCAAGGCTCATGATTTAATTGGAGTAACTGCCGGAACTTTGACACCCAGCTTCTGCCAACCTTGCAGTTCGAAAACACGTAAAAATGCAAGTAGAAAAATAGGGACCACTTTGGTGGGAAGGTAACAGCGTTCCGTGCGCCTTCAGCATTTAGTCATGCCAGCCACATGACCATGGAGACGTCTTTGGATAGCACTGGCTCTTTGGCTTTGTAACAGAGATGAGCACCGCCCTCTAGAGCTGGAAACAACTATCACATAGGTGTGAGGGGAACCTTTACCTTTTACCTTTAAAGCTTTTATCCTCTATCATGGTTAAACTGATAATAAGGTTTCCAAAACTCCATAAATCCATCTAGTTAACTTCTTCTTCCTCATTTTTCCTCTTCCGCACAGCACCTATTTCCTTCCGATCCATTCATAGGAACTGTTTCTCATCCAGCCTCTGCAAACTTGAACACTTTGATATAAATATTGGACATGATTCCTATATCAGAGGAAGAATCCACTGTTGTGATGAAGAAAGGTGTGAAGCAAAGCAATTTCCTGGTATGTTTGCTCAGGAGGTCTAGGACCCAAACCCTCCCTATTTCAGAGGGTCATATGCGGGTTGTGCGTTTGAGACCGGATTTTCTTCCTTCCCTGTCAAACTTCCTCCTCTCACTACCTAACAATACATACTGATATAGTTCTTGCTGATAATCTTTTACAGGTTTTTTTTTTTTAAATCCTTTAAAAAAGTTGCTGTTTTTTCAAAAGGCAACTGGGCTTCTTTTGTTCTTCCTTGAAGACATTTTCCTTCTCATCCAAGAAGCTTCTTCAGTTCTTATTTCAGAACCAAAAAAACGAAGAAGCTTCTTGGATGAAAAGGGAAACGTCTTCAAGGAAGAACAAAGAAAGCTGAGCTGCCTTTTGGAAAAAAAAAAAGCACCTTTATGACATGAGCAGGAAAGTGAAGGGATG